ACAAACCACGAAACCCCTAAGAGGAATGTCCTTAAACCGTTCCACAGAAAAGCGTCATAGGCGGAAGTTTAGACACTCGAAACATCTTACGTAAGTCAACGCAACGGGATCCAATCATTGCCAGAGTTATTGTGGCATCAATCATTTCGCAAAATGGCCTTAAAACTATCATGTGCCGAATTCAGTCCTAATGGGAGCTGACCTCCGAGCCGGTGACAAATTATTTGTTAATGCAACTCAATGTCGGGAACATGGCACGCAGGGCTGTGAGGTTGGGAGCTCCATGTCTCGGCACCATTTTCCTCGTAGAAGATTAAGGGGATCGGGAATGTTCGAGGTGTTATGAGACTATTCTGAGAAGCTTTGAATAAAATACAAAAGTAGTCCGTACAGCCGTAATTTTTGAGTTCAGATTCTCTATTCTTTAGACCCAAAATTAAATTACTCTATTTGTATTAAAGGTCTATTTAATTTAAGTTGCCTAGTTATCATTGTAACGCACTGAGTACAATTTCAGATACCTTGTTATTAGTAAAGTATGTACCTACTCAAAATTTCGTCAATGGACATGCCAACTCTTGTGATTGGAACATAATTACTTAATTATAACCTTTTCGCATTCCAATGACTCATGAAAGATAGCTTACATTTTAATATTACATCACATTAAATTCCGGAACAACCAAAGCTGCAATCAAGAAAGTTGGCGGCAGCGACGTATCAATGCAATGGCCTTCGAATTATGAATAATCTCCTGAATAAAAAAAGAAATTGGCAACCCTGTACAAGATGGAGGTCGACCGATATTCTCGTAACATTGACTGAATGACTCATTACACGTCAATCGAGTGGCAGATTCAATATCAACAAGCTCTTGCGTCAATTCTAGGAACCACGTGTAGGCTAGGATGTATCGGATTCCCGTGGGGCTATTCTGAAGTGGTGTTACGTTCTTGATGGTACATTAGTTTCTGTGTTATATTGCAAGGCTCTTCTGTATGTGACTGGGTGGAGTAGCAGGATTGACTGCAAAGTTACTAATAAACCTTAGTCAGTTAAACAGATAGCCACTGCACATAAATAAATAACATATCCTAAAAGAGAAGCGGTTGTTACAGTTGATATTTAATTCTACAATATATAATTATTATTGCAGTTAATAAATACTAAACTACCCAACTACGATTGTTAAGAATGCGGGTACACGAACCATATTTGTGAAATTATGGGACACTGTATGGTCGTGCGCTCATTTTGAAAATTAAAAACTTAACGTTTTCAACTACCCCAAAAACGCCCGACCTTTACTTATTATTTTTATAAACTCTCTGAACACTCGGTAAACCAAGTCATGACAATAGGAATAATGACAGGGTATAAAAAATTAAAAATGTAATAAGTCCGCCGGTTATGTAATGAAAAAATATTAGACATGTATATTTTTTTTTATTTTGTCGTATAAGAAAACAATACTTAGATAAAACGTATCAAAGATTTAAGATTGGGCGGTAGCTACGTCATTTTAGAGTATAAATCGATATTATTTCAAATTAATATATCTTCGAAAGTATTCGTTTCTGTAAAAAAATAAAACATACGTGTCTAATGTTTGTAAATAATCTACCAGACGGACAGTAAAAGAAAAATTAGTCATCTACCCTATTGGAAAAGAACAACATAATCCCATCACGTTGACAACAAGACCTAAGATAGGACTCATAAGACCTAGGTACCTACTTTATCATAATTCTCACAACTCCTCACGGAAATCTCATGTAACCTTCTATAGCAATTTAAACACAGATTCCTGGTACCAACCCACGTGCAAACATCATACTTTTTAATCCCCGAAGGAGCAGGCAGAAGTGTAAGTAACAAAGAGGTCTCAACACAATTTAACATCTATTTTTAAACAGTGTAGTCTAATGTATTTAATGGTGCATCTATTGCCAGAAATAGGTATTTCGGGAACAATTAAATAATTGCCAGTTCCAGACCGAAACACCAAAAAAAATATAGGTAAAACTTTGACCAGCCTTTTTTGAGGGGGGAAATCATCCAATGACTTCTCCCGCCTGGGTGAGGCGGGAGGGAGTTTCAGACTCTTACTGACTAAAAACCACCCCGTTCCTACTCCTGCACTTCGAGCCGGAGCCCCGGCAACCCGTTAAGAACTTTGCCTAGCCTGGGAATTGGCACCACTTTTACTTGGTGATCGCACTTTGTAACAGTTAGAGCCACAAAGCAGTTAATGTATTTATTATAATAACATAAATTCCTTGAAATACCCTTGAACTACCGAGTTATCATTGCGTTCCAATTACTGAAAGATTATGTATAGCAATACGCAGAAATATAATATTATTGTCAATATATTTTGCTATCAAAGCTTTATTCGACGTAATACAATTAAAATTATTCAATAAACCAAGAATTCAATTTTCCTCTTAAACATAACATCACGTCTTTTATCCCCGAAGGGGTAGGCACAGGTGTACATTATGCCACTGTACAATGTTTTCACTATTTACTATTTATGGTTTGAGTCCCATGTAATAGAGAGTGAGCCTATTGCCATATATCGGGCACAATTGCAGGCTCCGTGCTATTACTGAGAATTTATAAAATACCCAGTAATACTTTGCCCGACCCGGGAATCGAACCCAAGACCCCTTGCCCGGCAGTCGCACTTGCGACCACTCGGCTAACGAGGCAGTCGATTTTCCTCTTGTGTATTTTAGTTTTAAATTTGTTTTCTATTCTGGTTTCGCTCTGGTTAACATAACAAAGTAAATTGTTTCTTCAACCAATTTTTTTCTTTCTATTTTTTTTAAATTTGATTTTTTCCTGTGTCATGTGTGCGTTTAAAAACATATAATTTCAAATACACATGACACCCAGGCTTTTGAGCCTGGGTGTCATGTGATCCACAGATTGTTGTTTTGACAACAATCTGTGGATCACACAAAGAGTTGTTCCGTGCGGGAATCTAGCCCGCTACACGATGCGTGGCAGCCAGTTGCCCAGCCACCGGACCAACCGCGCAGTCAAATTATCTTTACTTTTAGGCAAGTCTCTAAATCTTTACTTTATTTTTATTTATTTATACTTTAATGTACACAGAAACAAGTAATGGTACATAAGGCGGACATGAATGCCATATGGCATTCTCTCCCAGTCAACCTTAGGGTTTATTTAAAGGGGGGAAATCATCGAATTACTGCTCCCGCCTGGGTGAGGCCGGAGGAAGTGTCAAACTCTTACTGACTAAAAACTACCCCGTTCCTTCTCCTGCATGTCGAGCCAGAGCCCCGGTAACCCGTTAGGTTCTCCGCGACTCCGAAAACCTTAGAGTTAAATAGGAAATCGTCTAAAAAATTTGGCTTGTGTAACTATATGAAACAAATAACACCAATTATTTTCACCAAAATCCTACCATATAACCTACTTAAGATAATGAAGGATTAAATAGGAAATGCCTAACAGTGTCTAACTTATTAACTATCGAAATCGGTGAGTAGATATCGACAAGATCTGATAAATTCAATATTTCGTAAGCTCTGGTACAAAATATGGATAGGTTAGCGGAGAGCTTCTAATCACATCTTGGGAAACTCGACAGCTTTGAGGTATTGCTTTAAAGACACAGCGATCACCTATCACGATTATTATTTTATGAATTTGTATGCATCTGCGACCTCCCTCCTGCCTCTAGTGCTTATAGACAGGCAACATATTACCTAGGTAATTGTTAAACTCCTTAGTATACCCGTGAACGGGTGCCTTCTGCTTGAACAGGTCGGCTCGCTCATCGTTCTAGTGGGCTGATTCAGTAGGGTTATTGTAAGGTAATAAGATTATAATAATTAGGTAACAACATAAAGTAATGTGTGTAGTGATAGTGGTTGGCGTAGCATGCATAATTTTTTGGTATTTGTTATTTTTTAGTTGTGTATTGTATTTTTATTTGTGTATTATATTTTATATGGGCCACAGTTGCCTGAATTAAAGAAATAAATAAAATCTTTTTAAAAAATATTTGACCATGAAAATCATGTACTTGTAATATGACAAAGGCATAGACACAAATCCGTGGAAAAATTCAATTTATTTATTAAAAAAACTCCTTGGTAAATATGTAGTTACTTAGGCGGCCAGTCACTTCTTTTCTTGAAAGTGTGAATGTCGTAGGTACTTATTGGTTTATCATAAAGCAATCGAAAGCTTAATGAAAACCTCAATGTAGAACTGGTGGCCTAACCAGCCAGTCATAATGGCTACAAAAACCAAATTAACTGTCAAAGGTAAACAATACCGAGACAGATACCTACCTACATATGTTAATACTATAGTCACCTAGACACACCACGGAGTACTACGGGTCGGTGTCCACGGCCATGCGGCGACCTTCCCGACACGTCACTCGTGCACAATCAATATTAATATGTTTTTGTTCACCCATCATATTCCCAGGCAAGGAAACAGGAATAGATTGTAAGTGAGATAGAAACCCTGAAAACTCAATGCTAGTTAAAGCAGGGTCAAAAAATAACAAGAAAATGGTTGCCCACTTATGCGGATTCAGTTAATGATTTAATGAGACGATGAGTGATGCTTTAATTCTAGGCTCCTAAGACCACATAGTGAGTTCTTGACTATATGGTTAGCATGTTCACTGGGCAAACAGTTGCTGCGCTAAGTGCTGCGGGTTCGATTCCCTCACGTAAGAATTATTATTTCCACATCCCCAAATGATTTAATAGCGACATCTCTCGCAGTATTATGAAACTAATTGAACCACAACAATCTTGCTTTTGTTTTACATAATCAATAGATGGCGCTAGTAACTATAATTTTTTACAACTAATTTGTTAAGAAATAAATAATAACTACATATTTTGATCACATTGAGTAATTTTATTATATATTACTTACAATTCATTAACATAATCCATTATAAATATCGTCCTATACATAAAATGATTATGGTCATTTCATAATTAGAATCTTTTCTGTACAATGTACAGGCAAACGGCTAGAAAGAATAGGAATGCGAAGAACATGATAACTTTGTCGGTGAATTCACGTCGTCCATATTTCTTTAAGAGTTTGCTAGATTCTGATATAGTGCTAGCTGTGTTCTGTAGCTCTGATTGAGTGCCCTGGAAAAGAAAAGAGATAGAAAATAAGAAACAAAAACTATACCTCATTGCTAAAATTTTTTACAGATGAGAAAACACATGTCAACAAGAACAAAGAATATTAATACCACAAAGCTTCACAAAGTTATTATTGAAGCATAATTAATAAAAGGTACTACAAAGTATATTTCTTACATATTATGATTTATTGACTTACATGTACAGTAGAACTGGAAGAGACCAAGCTGTCAAGTGTGTCTTGGCTCCTCTGAGCCGTGTCCGCTAGCTGCCGGCTAATGGATAGCAGTTGTTCAGTTACACCTATAATAGACAATAAATCATAATTAACTATAGGAAAGCATTTCTTTGAACAAATTCAAATTCAAATTCAAATTCAAATTACTTTATTTGTAGAACACAGGTTACAAAAGATGTTACAAACTTTACATTGACCAGCTATGTCTTGCCACCAACGGCGTACAAATATATTAAATTAATTTACCATTTATTAATTATACAAAGATTTCAATAGTCAGACTTATTAAATTAAATCAAAATATAGGGTCATGCACTGTCAATAATTATATTACATTTATCATTATTACTTTATTACAATCATTATCATATGTCAATAAATTAAATAAATAATATTTTCATTATCATAACAATCCAATTATCTATTATCATTACATTTGTCCCAGTAGATACACACACAGCATAATTAATTCACCTCAAATCCTATCTTCCAAGTATTCAGTGACCGAGTAGTATGTCTTGTCGCTAAGAAATTGCCTTAGTTTTTTTTTAAATATATGCAAATCGTTTACCTGTCTAATAGGTTTAGGAATTTTATTATAAATTCTTGGAGCCATACCTAGAAGACTTTTACTACACAAAGCTGTTTTATGTGGATAGGCGCATATTTCGTGGGCACGACGTTTAGATTGTAATACCTCAAACAAATTTAAGTTTGTTTTCACGAATAAAGCTACTTCGTAAATGTACATGCATGGGAAAGTTAGTATTTTGTTTTTGTTAAAGTAGGGTTTACAGCTTTCTGTCTGTTTCAATTTATACATGGCTCGGATACACTTTTTTTGAGCTTTAAATACAATAGGTTTGTCAGTAGAATTACCCCAATATATAACTCCAAAACGCAGAACAGACGCTACATTTGCATTATATGCTACCAATACAACTGTTTCACTCACTTTTTTTGACAAGTTGTGGAGTGCATAGGCATATTTGTAATTCGTTTTGATACCACGTTATATGATATTTCCATGTCAATTGACTATCCAAATTTAAGCCCAAAAACTTAGCAGTATTTGTTTCGTATATTCGTTGGCTCGCATATATTATATCCAAGTTCATGTCACCGTTAGTTTTCTGAAAGAATCTCATTAATTTTGTTTTTTCCAAGTTAATTTCAATCTATTCATTCTTAACCAGTCTATAACTTTGCTAATCGAATTGTTTATTTCATCTTGATAGGTGTTTACATTTTTACATGGTATTATTAGTGTACTGTCATCTGCGAATAAAATTGATTGATGTTCTGTGCATTTGGGCAGGTCATTAATATAAACAAGGAATAACAGAGGCCCAAGTACGCTTCCTTGGGGCACGCCACGGATTGTTTGTCTAACTGATGACCTAAACGTTTGCTCAATTTTTGAACTAGTAGATATTTTATTTATAACAGTAACTTGTGTCCGATTGCCCAAATACGTTTTTATTAGGTTTAAAATATTACCTCTAATACCATGTCTTTCTAGTTTTCCTAATAATATGTGATGGTCTACATAGTCAAATGCTTTTGACATGTCCATCAAAACCAATGATATCGGTGTTCTACGATCAATATTGTTAATAAGTTTCGTTATCACCTGAAATATTGCCTTATTTATCGACTTATTTTTTCGAAATCCGTATTGTTCTTGACAAAAAATGTCATTACTTTCAAAGAACGAGTAGATGGAGTTAAAAATCACTTTTTCTATGATTTTAGACATTACAGGAATTAAAGCAACGGGTCGATAATTCCCAGGTACCGTTTTATCGTCTTTCTTATGTAAAGGCCTAATCAGAGACACTTTCAATCTACATGGAAACTGACCATTTTCAATACATAGATTTATAATGAAACTTAATACCGGTGCAATTAAGTGTGATACTATTTTTATTGTTTTGGTTGTTATTTCGTCATACCCGGCGCTGTTTGTGTTTTTTAATGATTTTATTATGTTAAGTACTTGTAGCCGATCTGTTGGTTTCATAAATAAGGATTTTTTATAATTGGTGATATATGTGAGAGGATTTAATTTATTGTTACCAGTATTCTCTGATTTAATTGAGTCTATAAAGTAATTATTTAGTGCTGAAGCAATTTCTTTAGGGTCACATATATCTCTATTACCTTCACATATTTTCGTTATGGGTTCATTCGGGAATTCCGTTTTATTCGCATTCGCAAATGTAAGATTGCTACTAAAAACTGTTTAACCTATGCATGGCAGAATGCAGATTTAGGCAAGATACTATGTTTTTTCTATTGTGTCTCTTAAACAGGCACACAAGATTATATTTAAGACTTTGACTGCCAATAAAAAACTGTTGAAGGTAAATCCTCCGCTAACGCCGGTCATCGGTACCCCCATGGCGTTTAACGTGTTAAAAATAAGATTGGAATTGTTCTCGGTATATGACAATAGGCTCACCTCCTATTACATGGGACTCATAACATAAATAGTGAAAAGTGGGTGTTACATTGTACAATGGCATAATGTGCACCTCTGCCTACCCCTTCAGGGATAAAAGGCGTAATGTTATGTTATAAAAACAAATGCACTCTGTGGTTTAATTTCTTTCTTTAGAGTTGACTGAATATTGATTAAGTCTATGATTTCTGAAGACCTTTATTACTTTTAATAAATGATTTGTAGGAAACAACCATTAACTGATGATAAAAGATAATCATATCTGTTGCTACTGAATCAGTAACTGTCCTGATTAATTGTTTAATATAATATCTCTATTTATTCCAACGCACAGTCATTTCATTGTTCTATTTACCTATGGCACTCTGCCAGTACACATGCTACTTATTTAAAGAAAGTCATCAACTGCTAATAGTCGCACAATAGTCTTTGTAACATATTAAAAAACATAATAAATATAATATGCTAAAACGGAATCAAGAATTGTAATAGAACAATAATAATAAATAAATTGATCTGTTAGTTTGTACATAAATAAAGCATATGTCATTGAAATCTCTGTGAGACATTATTTAAGAATGTAAATAGGTCAATGTTTATACATGTGTATAAGAAATGCATTGTCGTTGACAGACAAATGAGTTTAAAACACTCAAACTGGTGAAAGTAATAAATCTCTCATTCTCTTTATTTTATTTATTTATTTATTTATTTCTTCTTCACAAAATAAGGTGAATGGCGGACTTAATGCCTTAAGGCATTCTCTTACAGTCAACCATAGGGAAGTGCAGAGAAATGAAGTGGTTGACGCGAAGACAGACAACAATAAAAAAAAAGGTTATGTAATATGTATACTACACACATAAATACCTATAGAATAAATATATTAATACAATATTTTATAAATAGACAAATACATACCATATAATATATACTACTAAACAAATACTTATACTGCATAAATACTACAATATATTATATAAAAAAAAAAGAGAACGTTGTTAGAATAGTTTCCTCAATTGTTTTGAGTTTGCCAATGCTTAAGTAGATGCTCACGGACTTTAAATTTAAAGGTATTGCGACTTGTTTCCATTCTGATCTCCTTGGGCAACGCATTCCATAGAATAACAGCTTGAATGAAAAAGGAAGAATGAAAGAAGTCAGTGCGATGAGAGATACATTGAAGATGTCGGTTGTCGGTCGAACGAAGAAATTTTGTGTGGTTTGCGCACGTATATTGAAAGTAAGAAGCAAGGTAAGTAGGTGAAGAAGGAGAGTCAAGATAAGAGAATAAAGTGGTTAATGCCCTCTGCTGCCTGCGCAAGCGTATGGGCAGCCACTTCAGTTGCATCCTATGTGCAGAAATATGATCATATTTACGTAAGTTGAAAACGAATCGAATGCAGTTATTTAGAAGTCGGTCTAACTTATTGAGTAGATCTGCATTCATATTTTGTTTTTTAAGTAAAAATTGAAAGTGTGATACAGTACTTAAATATAAATTATGTTGCCTATAATATGTGGAGTAGCTTCATAAACACAATTTCTAAACCGCACCCATTTTGATTGCAGAATAATAAGAATCAATTCAACAATTTAGAATTGAATGCGTAACTGATCTATTCCTGAGGGGTCACCTGTGGCCGCTTTTCACTAACTCTATTATAGACCTGATTTCCGATATTTAGAGAATTTTGATTACGATATATCAACATATTAATGTGTTTTTAATAATACTATTTATCAAATAAGTAAATTAAAATACTACCTGAAGACATTTTAAGCAGTCCATCTCTCTCCACCTTGGTCTTCCTGTTTCTGATTCCTGAATCATCTCTTTCGCCAGCTTTTAACAATTCATCTCTTTCGGCTTTCTCAATAGCAAACATACTCATTATGTTGGCCTCTTTGAATTCTTTTAGCAGGCTGGAAATAGATAAGACAAAAATTTAACCAGTAGTAAAGAAATAATCTATTAACCATGAATAATGTAGGACTAGTATTTGTATTTGATTGGTAGGATCGAGCAGATTAAAGCATTGATGATTTACCTTAAACCTTTGGTTTTATAATACTTTAATAATACTATTAAGTAGTAATCAAGAATGCATGCAACTAAACTTATCAACATACATATATCTAGGACTTCACAATTTCATCAAAATACAAGTATGACTAGGATTTATGTAGGTAGGGATTAGTGATAAAGTAATAACTGAAGAAATCTCATGTTAATCCTTAATGACAAGTCCACTTACCATGCAAGTTGATGCCTTTGTGACTCCACTTCAGTTGCATATTTCATATCTCCTATATCCTTGCCGTAAATTTCAAAATTCTCTAGTTCATCCCTCAGCAGAGATATAGCTGCCCTGCCTTTTTCGTTGAGCTTGTTTAAGCTTTCCATGGAGTCTCGACATGCTAAAATTTCCTGTAAATTATGTCAGTCAATTGTATAACAATAAGATACAAATAATGAAATATTTATACCTCATCTACTTTGAGAAAGTAGTTTATTACGCACTCTACTACTTTAAAAATACGTAAAGGAAACTATATTTACACCAACATGAACACTTTTTATAAAAATAGTTCTTAATTACAGAAAAGGTTAGACAAGAGAAGATTACAAATATTTACGATTTTTCGTGCTAGTTCCACGTCTCTAACGTACAAGATGATAAATATGATACTCTATAATACAAATAAAGATTTCACACTGGTGTTATCAGTCATAATTACCTGAATTATATTTTTTACTGTAAAATAATGCTTCGAAAGAACTTTCAGATAATTCTGGTATGCTGTATCTGTCGGGTCTAATTTTTGAAATAACTTGCTGTACGCACTGCTACCTATTTCTCTTTCTGCTCTCAAATTCATGTTGGTGGTTAAAATATCGTAATATTTTATTTATGCTAGCCTATTTTTTTATTTTGAAAACTTTTGTCGGAGTGTCATCAAATCAGTCGAGCTGACGTTAATATGTCACTGTCAATGACGTTCAATTTACTGACGTTTAATACTCGAAAAATGCCTCCTTTACACGGAAAAAAATAATACGTAACATCAAGCTTAAGATGTGGTGTAGGTACTGGAACGCGGATCGAAGTGTGATAATGTATTTTTCTTTACGTCTCGTATTGATAAAGTAAATTAAAATATTTTGTTTTCCTTACGATAAAATTTGTAAAATTATAAAAAGCCACATTCGAGGTGGTCTAAGGTTTCTTAAAATTTGGAGTAGGTGTTTAATGACTTTTGGGTACTTTCAATACGTAATTTATTACATACACCTTCTTTAAATTCAACATCAGTAGTAATATCTTCTAATTTCAAAGCTGAATATTTTTCGGGTTGTTAATATTACCTTACGAATTTTACAGAAACAAAAATATAAATAGTCAATTATGCCTGTTACTCATTTGTTTAATGTATCGTTATTAGATTACACAAAGAATAACAACTTAAAAACCTTTAAAATATTGGTTTATTTACTAAAAAAAAAATCTGCGGAAACATTCGTTGATAAATACAAATACAAAACATTATACAAAAATATGATGAGTCCTAAAGAGAGCCACGAAATAATTTACTCCTTTAACGCCACACAAATTTAAATGATTAAACGGTAATTATTGAGTGATAGTGATATCGTCCACAAACTCGTCATAGACATTATCGTCCAGGTACAAAGTATGATATCCTTGATAACCAGTCAACTTTCTTCGACATGTGGGACACACAGGCTTCAGTATCAACGCCTTTTGCAGACAATTTCGGCAGAATACGTGCCCACACTTGGTTGAAACTACAGAATCTTTGCCCAAATTGTTGAAGCAAATAGGACAACGAATCCTCAGAAGCGATTTACGTTTTGATTTTGCCTGTAAAAAATATGTAGCCTTGAGTAAGGTTCATATTATAATGGTGCCTACCTACAACTTGTAAAAGTATTGTGGCTCCAGCAGTACTACCTAGCCCGGTCTATGAATATTTATTTGATTGTTTAGAACAGACATAATATTAAATTTCCCCCAAATCCTAGTGCTATACAAGTAAGAAAAATCAAAGGTCTTACTTTTTTCCTCTGTTTTTTAGATTTTTTCTCTTTCACTGGTTTCTCCTTTGCTTCTGGTATTCCTGGCGTCATTCCTATGTAGCAATGTTTTGTAGTCTTAAGTGTTAGAGATATTTTCATTAGTATTGTAAAATCATTTTACAAATAATTTAAGACGTCAGACATTATTTTGACGTAACATCTGACAGACTTATCTGTACAAAAAAAGTAATTATCTATTTCTTGCTTGTAATACTTATTCAACAAGGAGATCAATAGACCTGCGTGCACTTCTCAGATTAGCGTTAAGTTAACATCTAACTACGTATTCCACGCCAATGTATTATGTAATTTATAGTCATTTGAATATCAAATATGTTTTAATTTTGTGTTCAAGTAGGGTGTAAAATTCTATTAATTAAGCTTTTAAACATTTCTTAATGAAATATAAGTAAATAAAATCATATCGAAGTAAACATGTCCTTATACTTGTTTTTAAAAAGGATTGGTCAAAAAAATAACTCCTGTTTTAGTAAATGCATTGTATTAAATGAATAGTTACAATATCACTGATCAAGAGAAACCTTCGTGTACAAATGTAAACTTAGTTTTACTTGTCTTAGAAGCATTTTTACAGTTGCTTCTCAATAATTTTACTAATTTCTTTGGTCCACAGCAATATAGATTAAGATGGTTCCTGAAAAAAAAAGAATACATATTTTATTATTAAACTTACACAAGAATATTGTAGATTAAGAGTTAGAACAAAAATTATTTTAGGAAGGACCTAAAATGTTACCTTGAGGCATACCCTTATTTTCAGTTATACAAAAAGTAGCCAATACAATATTGTATAGTTGAAGCTTTCATTTAACGTACATATATAACATTAAATAAACATAAAACCTACGCCTAGACCACATTTACCCGCTAGGGTAACGTTTAACATTATAAAACTACCTAATCAAACGCTTTGGTAGAAACTACAAAATATTGATATCTTGTTACATTCAATACTTTAAGTTGATAAGAGTATTTGTGAAAATTATATTTTTAATAATAGCTTACTCTGGATATAAATGCACCCAATATCCAAAAACTCTATCCCAGTGAGGTCTTCCTCTTCTTACTCGACATCCAATCAGAGGATACTCTTTCGCTATATTATAATTATTGTCTTCAGTTCTTACTGATTTCTCACCAATAGCATTTCTTTTGAGATTCGGAGTCAACAAAGTCACTTTCTCATCATCTCTATCTCTCTTCAAGACATGAGTTAGACCTTTCTCATTTATCACAACCATGTGTGCTACAGGATTATCTTCTTTATTACTATTGTTCTTAAGTTCATTTTGTGTGTTAGTGACGTAAAATTCTATGTGCAGTCTGTCTGGGCGGTTTGCGTTACGTAATTGTAATAACGTTTTATTCGCGAGGCATGCGAGCCATGTGAGTTCTTGTTCGTATCTTACTATCCAGAGGAGATGAATTCGGCCGGGTAGGCGGTTGCGTGGATTTCTGGAATAAAGGAAAATCATTTTAATTTTGTAGTAATTAAGGTTGAAAATTGCGTGTGTTTTAAGCAGTTGAACTTACAGTAAAAGGTCATGTAACACAGCTACAAAAGGCGTGATCCCCACTCCAGCAGCTACGCAAATTGCTACATCATTTCGACAGACGCTCTCCATAGGACTCGAAAACGGTCCGTCTACCAGCACACTGAAATATTTAGAATAAAAATGAGTTAATTATTGTACAAGCAAACAAGTGCGTAACACTAGATTATACATAATATTCTAATCCCATTTAACTCGTTGAGTACCGACATTATAGACACAATTAAAGAACAATAGGTTGCGGTCACCGGTGACCCTTTTTAAAAAAGCGTAAATTACGTAAGGTTTTTAACAGAGGCTATTTAGGACATCAAAGTGAAAGGAAGCAAAGCAACCGATGAATTAAATCAAGTTGACATTTAAATGGTAAGTTTTAACTTTGTGAATAAGTTCTTAGTAAAACTTTAAGTACCTTAATTCACTCGCCCTTCTCTCTAACAATAGTTTTTCTAATGATTCAGTCCAATCGCCTTTTATTCTTATCCACACAACGAAGCTTCTTTGGTATGTTGTAGGAACCTGGAATGATAAAACAAATATTATGAAATGGAGATGGCCTGATATAGAAGTAAGAAAGAAAAATAGTTTTTGTATCAAAAACGATGTTCTTTTCAGTTGTTCAATAGATTGTTACTATTGTATTATAATATACGTTCATGTGCCGATTAGAACTTCCTTTTCTATGTTACGCTAGCTTCCTAGAGCTTTCAATTGCATTAGACTCTAGTGCATTCCTATTTGCCATATAGGTATGACATTCATGACATAAAGATCACCGAAATTCGAAATTGAAAAAGAAGCTAATGAATAACTAATTTTAAGACAACTATCATATTCATTAAAGTATGCATCATAAAGTCCTTGTAGAAAAAGGTGACGTCCAAAGCCCTTATAAGTGATCAGATGCACCATACATGACCAATAGTACTACACAATAATCTGACCAAGAATTATAATTAGACACAACTATCTAAACATGTCACCAAAACCAATTGTTGACAAGCAAATGCGCTTAGTATGATTGCTAATGGGTCAAGCACCATATAAAGAAACCATCCCACCCACGCATTTGCTGATGATCAAATAGATAATTCTAGTTATATGTTAGCGTCATAAAGGTTTGACATAGATTTATAGAAGCGGGGGCAGAAATTATTATGGATATTTTGGAAGCCCTGGGCCTTTAGACTGCCCGCTGCCCGAATGCCCACTATTAGTTTGAACATAAAAAAGTTATTGGTAGACGATTTCCTCGGTCCCATAATTTTAGTTGTTTTGGCCTTGAAATGAAATGCCGACTATTACTTTGTTAAAGTTAAATAAGTATATTTAAATTTTTATACTGTAGTATATTTTTTCCTCATGTATTGGGTCCCATAATATTACAGCATCTTTTGGGATCCAAATGTATGAAAAAAAACCATGCTAATATTATAAATAGGAAAGGATGAGTTGTTTGCATTGAATAGGCCCCAAAACTACAGCACCGATTTGAACATTCTTCTCTTAGGTTTTTCAGGAAGTTCCATTTTACAGAGACTACATTTTAGACAGAGGGTAGAAGAGAGAAAGAGGAGATTTAGCCTTACCAAGTGGGTTATTACACAAGTTCTTCATATTATATTCTTTGCATATTCCTTTACCCTTGTAGTTAAGTTGCGTAAACTAAATGGTTTCTCTGGATATACCATTAATCACTCATTACGAGTACTCTAAGAGCGATACATAAAACCTCCATTAATTTGAACTTAAATAAGTTCTTGCTATTGTATTGCCTACGATACTAATAATTTACTTACGAAATGGGTGATAGTGACGCTAGCATCGTTAAAGGCTTGGGTAATGATAAGTTTAAACATTAAAAGCATTTAATAGTCAGGATTTTGAAATGCCTTCTATTACAATTTGAAAATTGCATTTAATATTATATTACCCTGAGGGAAAGGGCCAACAGAGATATGTATATCGTACAGTCAGTACCTAGTCTTTATTTTAGCCAGTTATCGCCACATTTTTATTAAAATTTTCTTTATAATTCACACTATAAACTGTAAAGAAATTAGTTAAACCTTTCTCTTATCGAACCGTTTTAAGTCGTAGGTACCACAATTTTAAGTTCCTGCAATAAACCGCCAAGTCCAAAGTTCTTGTCGCGGAGAACCTAACGGGTTACCGAGGCTCCGGCTCGACGTGCAGGAGAAGGAACGGGGTGGTTTTTAGTCAGTAAGAGTCTGACACTCCCTCCCGCCTCACCCAGGCGGGAGCAGTCATTCAATGATTTTCCCCACTTAAAAAAAAAGTCCAAAGATCTTACCTTAACAACAGTGAAGGGGTGCCACTCAATGAGGGAGACGTCCAAACACTGCAGTAGGAAATATTGCCCCATACGACACTGTAGGTCAGGCGGACAGCTCACTGTCAGACTTATAGTGCGCCCCGCCATATGATGCACCTGTAATATTAATGGGATAACTGTTTTGTTACTTGTTCGTAGTTGCATGGTTAATGATGACTCAATGAGTTAACAAATCTTTATTACTGAAGTGATTATGTACACCTACTATGCTATGTTTAAGGAGCCCTACACTAGGATTTTCTCCTGTGTTGCATCATAAACCTAGAACAAATATTTGAAAATCACAGTCACACCAATTTGCGTTATTAGTGCAAGAATCCGGCCAGCGACATGTTCAACTGTAAGCCTCTTGCCCACCCTTTCACCCAAACAGTGTAGTCGATAATAAGGTAGTTTCCTAAATTTTATTTTTATGTCCGTCTGGTAGTTAATTTAAAACTTTAGACACGTATTTTATCTTTTCTTGCAAAATTAAATTCTTTCGACGATATATTGATATGAAATGTCGTGTGACGTCAGAACGTGCTACATTTTGTAGCACGCTGTGACGTAACTACCTTCCACTCCTAAACTTAACGCCATTTTATTTAAGTATTGTCCCTTTATACGACAAAATAAAAAAATACGTGTGTAATATTATTTCATTATCTAACTGACGGACTAATTAGATTTTTAATTTTCTTACACTGGAAACTACCCTATTGTCAGAGATGATACCAAAATCCAGTTGAGAGGGTAGTAGAAATTCAAATTGAGCGAGGTGCACTTTTGTGGCTTGATGTTTTAATTGTACCTTTTTGGGATTTAACTGCATTTACTAGATCTATATAGGTACCGATAAATAAAACAGAATTTTCGTTCGTTAGTTTCACTAAAACTCGAGAACAGCTGATTCAATTTGGCTAATTTTGGTCTTGAAATGTTCGTGGAAGTACAGGGCAGGTTTAAAAGGTGAGAAAAAATTATATAAGCATATTACTTAGTACCTATTTGAATAAAACACCTATTAAATATCTAACGAATCTACTGTTAAACCATTACAATATCGCAATACATACCTACCCTATCTACTACATTATGACAAAGAGAGGGGAAGCTAGTTAACCCATTCATCCCAAACCGCTAATACCATCAATGCGGAATTACCCACGGGACCATGACCTGTTAGCAGGCTGTTGAACAAGAAATAATGGGGGCCGTAATATTCAATATAGGCCAAGAGGAATGTTAATAAATATATTACAGTTTTAACAGCAGACGTAATTAATATTTATAGCCTTTTCCAAAACGGAAAAAGCTAAATGAAGTCAAGTCAAAAATAATATTTTAAAAGTAGCCTCTAATTATGCTACTGCCGAGAAAGACGAATGGATATTAGAAATCCCCAAAGATATTGTAGATTTATAGTCAATCAATCAACTTTATGCAGTTAAATCTTTAATAACAAAAACTAACATTTAAAACAGTATGAAAACGTAGACCAGGAAGATATATGCCTTTTATCCCCGGAGGGGCAGCCATAGGTTCACATTACAGCACTTAATGCCACTGTACAATGTAACACCAACTTTTCACTATTTTGTTATCAGTCCCATGTAATAGGAGTGAGGCTATTGCCATATACCGGGCACAATTTCAGACTCCGTGCTATTACTGAGAATTTTTTAAAATCCAATAATACTTTACCCGACCAAACCCGAGATCCCTTGCCCAGTAATTGCACTTGCGACCACTAGGCCAACGAGGCCAACCAAGTAGCAGTAGCTACACAGGTAATTACAATTTCTTTTTTATTGGCATTTTTAAGCGAACCATTAAATGTAAAATTCCAATGAAATTACTAAACTTTACTATAAAATAACAAGGCACGTAAAATATATCGGGAATGTAAAATATGCAATGAATTTCCAGTCCAACGTAAGCGAATAAGAGGATTATGCAAAGTTCGATCGGTTATTGGATTAAAACTGGCCACGTAACGTTTTAGTGAAAATCTTTAACTAAATGTGAACATAAAACCGTATTAACCTAACATGCTCGATGTTTATCTAGTACTTATTGCTGAATATGGCTGAACAAACGTGACTGCACAGATTTTAGTTTAATTTAAATAAGGTAAATTGGTTTTAAACGAAACCTGTGCAAATTTTTAATTTTTTTAAAAAAAACCTTGGCCCACACTATGATTTTATCATGTATTATCTGTCGTTGTTCTATAGTCTCCACCTACCCCCGTGAGAAACAGGCGTTAGGTTATCTATGTAATTATGTATTAATTAGTGCAGTTTGAGAAAGCCTAAAGTTTTAGAACACGGTATACCATTATCGTGGTATGTTTAATATCACGTTCTTCTGTAAAGAAGTAAGTAGAAATTCACGTGTATTGTAAGTGCATATGTTTAAAAAAACGTTGCCCCACCCTAGGATTTTCTCCTGTGTCGCAGGTGCGTTTACAAACATTCAAGTTCACATACACATGACACCCAGACCCGGAACAACAATCTGTGGATCACACAAAGAATTGTTCCGTGCGGGAATCGTACCCACGACACGTTACGCGGCAGTCAGTTGCCCAACCACCGCGCCAACCGTGCAGTCTAAACTGTTATTAATTAACTGTCTATTAACTACTCCCTTTACCAATACCAAGACAAACAAAACATACAGACTTAGGTTCTAAAATAATTGAAAAATACAGTTCGGCTACCTACCACTGATGTAACAGATGTTTGAGAAAATCTCATGTTCTCATGCGCACAACTCATGATTCTGAATTCCAGTAGCAATTTACTTTAAACTTATAGGAGTATTGTCGAATCGTTCATGTTAGTAGAATATTTAATGACAATAGTTTCTTTCTTAACGTTTAGTTACCTTCTTACCTTATATTAAAACTACCAATAAGTTTTTTAAACGTCATACATACTATGTAGGCAGCCTATAAATGCCTTCTCACACGGAGAAGGTTTGAGCATTAATCACCACACTTGCTCAATGCGGGTTGGTGATTACAAACTTATAATTAGAAATTATAAGCCCAGGTTTCCTCACGTTGTTTCCTTCACCGTTTGTCAGTGGTGTCTGAATAATCTTAGAAAGTACATATAACTCGGAAAAAGTCACATTGGTACTTGCCGTTGGTAGCTTTCGAACCCGCGCCCTCATGCATGAGAAGCGGGCATCTTAAACCTGCGGGCCACCACGACATTCGTTGATTTTAAAAGATAAAGTAAAAAATAATAATAACTTACTTCCAAAATGTTAACTTTCGCTCTATTCCTAGTGCAGATTCGCCACAAAAGATCAAAAACGTAGCAGGATAATGGCAGAGACATCCACAACCACGTCTGAAACAAAAATGAGACTAAATACTTTTTAATTGGTCAAGACACGAACAAAAAGTTAAGAAAGTCGACTGTAGACAATTTAACTTCGAATTTTCGCTACAATCCGTCGTAAAATTGCTAATGATCTTTATGTACACACGGCTACACATTGAGCTTTACATAACCAGTATAAACTGAACGTTAAATGTGCGGAAAGATGATGCGACGCGATACCAGGATAAACTGGTTTTGTATAGATTGATGTGGCCGTGTGTACGAATTGTTAACGCGAAACTAAAAACCTGTATAGAACGAAAATAGAATTAATCGCTTAGTTACTAGTAAAATAAAGCCATTTTAAAGTTCCAAACTTATAATCGAACTATGTATTTGAAATAGTTTCTTAATTAGATAGTTAATGAATCTTTAACGTATACGAATAAGGACTCGGTATAATCGTATAATACTTATAAAACTAGAAATAGAGACGACATAAATTGCGATGATGACAGGGTATGAAAATTAAAAATCTAATTAGTCCGTAAGTTAGGTAATGAGAAAATATTAGACACGTATTTTGTCGTATAATAAAACAATACTAAGATAAACGAATCAAAGTTTAGGAGTGGGGGCTAAAACGTCATTTCTACGTATAAAATGTACATAGAAGTAACGTCACGCGACATTTCAAAACAATATAGCGTCGAAAGTATTCTTTTCTGTAAGAAAATAAAAAATACGTGTCTAATAATTTAAAATAATGTACCAGACAGACATTAAAATAAAAATTAGGCATCTAACCTATTGTGAAAAAATCACAATCAGTACAATAGTAGATATCTACGTCGTTCAATCTGAACACTTTATTAGCTAGGAAGAAGTTTTTGTTAAACTTCATGAGTGCGACATGATTTTTTAATTAGCAAAAAAAGAGAGAGAGAGTGGAATGAAGAAAGAGTAACTGTCAATCGGAATTGTATCTAAAACCACAACAAAAACAGCCCTTATTACTAAAAGAATAAAAACTCATTCAGTAATTAAAACGAATTTTATTCATTACACAGATATGCTGATGAAGTCACGCCCAATGTAGGTCATTTGAGTCACATTTACAATTTTTACAACAATATTCGTAAGACATCTGACGTAAATGTTTACGATGAAATTACCGCGTTCACTCGTAAAATGTGATGATGATCGATTGAAGTTCATTGAACGAAAATGACGTAGGTTGAGTATCCTAGAATCTATTAAGAGAAGTTTAGATAGGGAATTATGTGTGTTAAACTCGAGAACGACTAGACAATTTCGCTTTACGTTTCTCCAAATATTCTCTGCCGTCTGAGATAAATAAAAATTGCTGAAAAAGTCAGCATAGCTATCGGTTGAATAAGTTTAAATTCCTAAAGAGGCAAATCTTCATTCTGCCCACTGTTGAGCAAATCCTCTTCTCACGCGACGAAGGTTTGAGCAAATCACCACGCTTGCTCAATGCGTGCTGGCGATTACAAACTTACAATTAGAAATTATAAATCCAGCATTCCTCACGATGTTTTCCTTCACCGTTCTATCAGTGGTGTCTAGATAATCTTAGAAAGTAAATGCCACTCGGAAAAGTCACTGCCGTTGGTAGGTTTCGAACCCGTACGGCCCGTACCCTCATGCATGAGAAGCGGGCGGCATAGTAAGTACGGTAATAGGGTAGTTTCCTAAATTTTATTTTAATGTCCGTCTGGTACATTAATTTAAAACTTTAGACACGTATTTTTTGTTTTCTCACAAAATTAAATACTTTCGACGATATTATATTAATTTGAAACATCGTGTGACGTCACAGCGTGCCACATTTGGTAGCACGTTATGACGTAACAACCTCCCGCTCCTAAACTTAGCGCCATTTTATCTAAGTATTGCAACTTAATACGAAAAATTATTATAATTAATGAAAAATATTTTTTCATCATCTAACTGACGGACTAATTAGATTTTTAATTTTGATACTTAGGGAACTACCCAATTCAATTACAATACTCTAATTACTCAACACCAAAAAAGGAAAGATTAATTTTAGAAGTCAATCTTCATCATAAGGTTTACTTTGGCTGTCAGCAGTTGGACTCATAGCAAGCACAATAAAATATTGAATACACAAACTGCGCCTACGATTACTAATGTTCCGATTTTCGAAGTTGACTCACGCACTTGCTTGAAACAACTTACGCGTCATAATTTATTTACGATTTATTATGGAAAGCTTAACTAAACATTTGTATTTGTATCAAATATTATTAAAACAAGTAGTAGGAGTTTGATTTTATTAAAACAAACAATCTTATTAAAACACATAGCAACGAAACTCTTGTGTATAGGCCGGTATAAAATCTATGATAGGTGATGAACAAAAAATATTTACTAGTTTCTGACCGCGACTTCGTACGCGCAATCCCGTTTTCTTTGGTTACCGTAGGATTTTCAGGACTTTTTTCTGTCATAAAAACTTTTTCCTGACAATAATAAACACAACAAAAAAAAATCCGCCAAATCGGTCTAGCCGTTCTCAAGTTATGGTGTGACAACGGAAAACGGGTTTCGTTTTTATATAAAAGACTAGCTGACCTGGTAAATTTCGAACCGCCTAACAAAATTTTCTTACCTATTAAACCTTCCCTGGACTTCCTACTTTCAAGACCAAAATTAACCAAATCGGTTCAGCCGTTCTCGAGCTTTAACGAGACTAACGAACGGAATTCATTTTTATTTATACATATACTAGCTTTTACCCGCGGCTTCGCTCGCGTCACAAAAGGATAAAAAGTAGCCTATATGACATATACCAATAAACACAGCGCCATCTATACCAATAATTTCGTTTTCCCTCGAGAATATCACATTTTTCCGGGATAAAAAGTACCGTATTATTTAATCCAGACTACTAACTTTACGTCTGCAAAACTTTAATGCAATCGGTTTAGTAGTAACGGCGTGAAGTTGGAACAGACAAACAAACAAACTCACTTTCCGATTTATAATATTAGTAAGGATAAAAGATAAAAGATTATTTTTGCTCTCTACATGATCTGCAAAATTGATTTTGATGATGGAGATGTTTTAGTAGAATCCTGGGTGAGAATTTGTTTAAAGGACTATTCTGCTAGTCAGTATGTCACTTAGCTGTCTCCTAAACTGCTGTAATAACTCTGAAATATCTATATTGGAATAAATCATTTAAGTATCACATTTAGGCTCTGTGTTATAATGAGATCTTCGGATAAGATGACTGTTAATACATATCATTATGTATATTTTATAATATACATTAGTAGGTAGTTTATCTATTCATAAACTAATTAGAATTTTCCCACAAAATCATACCGAAGGACGAGTAAGTACATCCATGTTTAATGAGGCTTATCCAAAACGTTTAGCATTGTTAATGTATTATAAATCTAACCATTGGACTGGACGCAGCTGGCCAACGAAAATTAGCCGCTCCTCTGTGAAACATATCAATTTGTGTACTTACAATGAACATTATGTACAGAACTATTGTAGTATTAGATCTCAAAATAGAATTTCAGCTGTTTGTATTAACTCAGTAAATAGGTTAACACAGGTTTTGGAATTGGTTAATCCAATTTAGGTTTCCTCGTAAACATTGATTGATTTATGAAAGAGGTTTGCTTTCTGTAAAGCTAAGTTAATGTGGACAAGGATATCGAAAAAAAGGCGGACAGTTTCTTGAAACGACTGTGGCAACTGGTTACTATAGACTTACACGCAGATCATACACATATTGACACGAAGGACATCTGTCATTTTCTTTAGTCTAGTCGTGGTAATCTGATGGCGACCTCTCGCGTCCAGCCCTAGTGCGGGTTATGATGCAGAGCGTGGGGACTGGGTTGCAGTCTTCTCCTTTTGCGAAGCACTCAGTGCCATCAGACCACCACGGATGGGGCCCAATAGGGCTGATGCCGATACGGAGCCGCGGAGATCCTAACGGTACACCGAGGCTCCGGCTCGAAGTGCAAAAGTAGGAACGGGGTGGTTTTTAGTCAGTAAGAGTCTGACACTCCCTCCCGCCTCACCCAGGCGGGAGGAGTCATTCGATGATTTTCCCCCCTTAAACTGTCAAACACCAAGCGGTCACCGGTGACCGCGACCTATTGTTCTTTAATTGTGTCTATAAAACCGGTACTCGACGAGTTAAAAAAAAGTCGTGGTAATCCATCGCATACATAAATAACCCACTGACATTTTGGTGCTTCATTCATTTCTAAGAGACATTACGTGTCCGCGTTTTTTTCTATATCCTTGAATGTGGATAACAGATCCAAATATTGTACGAACATTTTTTAGCAACTAGATACTTATACATAGGACTGATTTGCGGTAACAATGATATTATAAATTACTAAGTACTCAGGTATCTGGACTGTTGGGCTGAGTGCCAAAGGTGACGAATCAACTTTATGAATAAGAAACCATATTGAGGAAAACCAAATCAATGAACTGGTTTCGTTTCAAGGAACTGAAGTGACTGACATAATTGAATGGGTTTAGACTGGTTAAATGATAGGAGGCAGTTTTAGTTAGGGGATTATAGAGACAAATATAGCTCAACTTTTAAATATAGGCAATTTGTCCCTTGTATGATTTCCCAATGATGTCACAATTAGACTAGTAGAGTGCATTTGCGTCAACTTGGAGCTGTCATGCTCACTCAAAGGTCTCATTGGCAGTGGCACGTGCAGTGGATCGCTCGATTCCCTACAATTTGGTTGAGTTGGGCGTTGCTGGTGTACGTGTGATATCAGTGAACGGGCACCGTCAACTGGGACTGGTCAGCTCCAGACTGTATTATTTATTGCCCTTAAGGTTATTTTCTTTTTCGATCTCTTTTGACTGGATTTGATGTTACATTGTTCTCGCACAATCGAACCAACAAAACTATGTAACTAGAGAATTGTATTGTGAACCTGATTGAAAAAAATAACCTATGGAGTTTCTTGCTCGTTCTTGTCCATAGGAATATACAGCCTGGAATGAGCAAAGCTTCACTTTTACTTTTTTATTCGTGTTCAAAAGTGCCTTTCTGGTCTAATTGAAATAAATGATTTTAACTTTGACTTTGTACATTAAAGGAGGGCTGACAGTCTACCTACGGCTAGGAACGAAAAAGATTAGATATATTATACAAGTGACCCGCCCCGACTTCGCACGGGCGCAATATACAAGTATTACATAAATAAACCTTACTTAAGAATCACTCTATCTATTAAAAAAAACCGCATCAAAATCTGTTGCGTAGTTTTAATGATCTAAGCATACATAGGGACAGACAGACATCGGATAGTGACTTTGTTTTATACTATGTAGTGATGTAGCTACCGACTATCATGATATTGCATTACCTAGATTTAGTACTCAGAATCATAATGTTTACTAATCTAGATCAGACTTAGTAAAGGTTATTGTACTAAATACTATTTCCTATTAGTTGCTGCTATTTGTAATTATGTTAAAATAGTTTTGTATACAAATTTGTTGTGTCGTGGTGGCCCGGAGGTTTAAGACGCCCATTTCTCATGCATGAGGGTGCGGGGTTCGAAACCTACCAACGGCAAGTACCAAAGTGACTTTTTCCGAGTTATATGTACTTTCTAAGATTATTCAGATACTACTGACAAACGGTGAAGGAAAACATCGCGAGGAAACCTAGGCTTATAATTTCTAATTATAAGTTTGAAATCACCAACCCGTATTGAGCAAGCGTGGTGATTAATGCTCAAACCTTCTCCGTGTGAGAAGACGCTTTGCTCAGCAGTGGGCATTTATAGGCTGTGGATGATGATACAAAACTGACGGATTCGACGTAACTCGGTTAAGAATAATTCAAAAAATGAATCAACTCCATGCACATAATCTATCGATATCAATGCGGGCGTCTTGGTTGTCATATTCATTCAGAGGGAATTGATCCAATCACGAAATCAATCAAACATAACATAATGTAGTCCATTTACATAATACATATAATAATAAGTTACGTCTATCCTTGTTAATTATAACAAAATTATTTTAATTAGTTTTTATTTTTAATCATTAGTAGTGACATTATGAGTAACTTTACTATTGATTATCTGTGGTAAGTATAATTTGTCTATGGTTGTCTTTGAAAATGAAAATATATTCAGTCGTTGCTTTTCAATGGAGTACAGTAACAAAACAAAACAGACTACATTTCTGACTCGAACCCATTTACCCATCGAACTATTGAAATACCAATCTACCTAAGGACAAGAGTGCATTAGTTAGTAATGGAGCAATCAATTAGAGGACATTAATATACTTATTAGATTACCCTCGCAGACGCCCTCTACCCTCTGTATGAGTTTACTTAAGATGCATTATAATGGCCTTCCCTTGAGAGGCGTCTGAAAAGGGTTACTCCGTCCGTCAGACACAGAGAAGCCTATATACGTAAATATAAATCAATCTCAATCTAAGACTTGTTTTTAATGTGCAGGCAAATGAGATCTGTGTTTACTAAAATTATATATTTTTTATTGAAAGAACCTTCAAATCATCTTGTGTCGTGCAATACTACTCATGAATATAAGCCCCAGCGTGGCTTGAAAGTAGTCGAGGTATCTCGACAAACAGTTACATTAAACATAATAAGTAATTAAAAAAACTTACCGTTGATTTGATGGCTACAAATCTCGGAGTATTCTCGTCTTGACTATCAATTAGACTAGCTTCAGTTTCTATAACTTGTTCCTTTAAAACACCGCTGAAACGAAAATATAAACTATAATATTGAAAATTAAATTAGGCTAGATTAAACACGTATAAATTGGAAACAAATAGGGTATTTTTTTTTAAGGGAAGATCATCCAATGACTGCTCCCGCCTGGATGAGGCGGAAGGGAGTGTCAGACTCTTACTGACTAAAAACCACCCCGTTCCTTCTCCTGCACGTCGAGCCGGAGCCCCGGTTACCCGTTAGGTTCTCCGCGACTCCGAATCGGCATCGGTCCTATTGGATATATATTAACATATATCTAAGCATATATTAACAAATAGGGTATATGATAACAAAGTTATTTTCGCTCTTTTCTATTTGTTCTTCATAACTAAAAACATGTAACAAAAGGATGAATATCGTCAAGAATAGGGACAAAACTTTCGAATAAAGCGAGGGGTTCTTACTACAAGCAACGTAAACCGAGAAGGATGTAAAGCAAAGGAAATCTTATTATACGTAAAACCAATATTTTATATTGTTCAATTCTTTGTAAACTAGTAAGAGTGTCGTGGTGGCCCGGAGGTTTAAGACGCCCACTTCTCATGCATGAGAAAACCTACCAACGGCAGGTACCAATGTGACTTTTTCCGAGTTATATGTACTTTCTAAGATTATTCTGACACCACTGACAAACGGTGAAGGAAAACATCGTGAGGAAACCTGGGCTTGTAATTTCTAATTATAAGTTTGAAATCGCCAACCCGCATTAAGCAAGCGTGGTGATTAATGCTCAAACCTTCTCCGTGTGAGAAGAGGCTTTGCTCAGTAGTGGGCATTTATAGGCTGTTGATGATGATGATAGTAAGAAATATAAGGCTAAATAAATATAATATATTTTTTTATTTATTTATTTAACTAAAACCATGATTTCTTGGAAAGATGGCCCACACACATAGACTAACATCCCGTCATTAGATCAACTTACATCCTATCATACTAAATTACATAGACAACCTATTATAAAAGTCTATCTGGTTAGTCACATATTCATTACAGAACCTTGACACGTTTTACAATAAATAAACTATACAGGTTCATTATTCAATATGGTCAATGCTTTCTTAAAATTCAGTCGAAATGATTCATGTTTTCGACCTGACTCACGCATGCCTTCGCTTGGAACTTCTGCCTTTGTTGTTATCATGTTGTTATACACAGCTTTAAAATGGTAATCATGGATTTTTATTGTTAAAGTTAGCGTAACATACCATAACATCACGCCTTTTATCCCCGAAGGGGTAGGCAGAGGTGCACATTATACCACTGTACAATGTAACACCCACTTTTCACTATTTATGTTATGAGTCCCATGTAATAGGGGGTGAGCCTATTGCCATATACCGGGCAAAATTCCAGACTCCGTGCTACTACTGAGAATATTTAAAAACCCAGTAATACTTTGCCCGACCCGGGAATCGTACCCGAGACGCCTTGCCCGACAGTCGCACTTACGACCACTCGGCCAAAGAGGCAGTCTAAAGATAGCGATAGCCTGTTAATACCCATATGTTTTATAGTCTTTCAAAATTGTATCAGACTCTTATAGTTAGGTAATAAGTTCTATAAATAATTTTAAACTCCCCTAAAACTGATGATGAGAACAAATCGAAAGAAACCCCCGGATTTCTAACACTGGTCTGACCTGGGGGCTTACTGTTGAATCAAATTCCGATCGATCAACATTGGTATTGTGAAATTTCGTACTCTCGAGTTGCAATACTAGCGCCTATTGCATCCGTATTGTGTGAATATTTAATGAACTAAATGGTATTGAATTTAGCTTTATATTCCGTGCTCTGAATGCTATTTTAATAGCTACGAAAGGGGTTGTATAGTTTTGGCATTGAATAGTTATTGAGATTCTATTTGATTGAAATTGCATTGTTATTGAGATTGGTTTCAAGAGTAAGCACCCTGACTTAATAAAACGCTTGTAGAAAGATGATGTTATAATAAGAATTAAACAGCAACATTAAAGAGTCCTTTCTATAAGTTAAACCGTTTTATTCAATAGCAAAAAATAAATTGGTAAAGAAAAATGTGAACAGTTATAACCGGCGACCCCATCATAAATTGCCTATAGCTTCCTTTCGGCAAACTTTGTTGCGTCAGCACATAAAGCAAGCACTAAACTAAGGCTTCTTACAGCTTTTGTGCAGCTGTGGACGTTAAATACTGCGACAGCAATAAAAAAGTTACTTTTCTTGCTTATTTTTAACTGTTAACATTGTTAAATTTTAACTCATTATTTGGTATGGTCTTAAAAAGCCATGTGTAGGTATTTCAAGCTTTATTGGTTTTTGGTCATTAAATGCGTCACTTCCCTACGTGGTGTGCTGAGTCAAAGTCAAAGCATTTATTTCAAACCATAATATGGTACTTTTGAAACGTCAACAAATACAAAATAAATAATAGTCTGTCAGTCAGTCCGTCAGTGAAGCTAGGTGAAGGTAGGTTCATTCCAAAATGTAAATTCGAATGGAGAAGAAATGAGCTTAATTTCCTCTTGGGAACAGAACCACCATAGTTGTATTTTTCATCATGAATGTAAATGTAAATGGAATAAACGAAAAATACCAAATTAAGAAAGAAAACAATTCTTCACTTTAATACTTATCAATTATCACGCGAACTTAAAAATAACGTCTAACTTTAAAGTATTAATTCTCTAATCGCGGACCACTTTTACGATTCTGCAGAAAGCTGCATAGCTCTACCTACTTATATAATATTAGCCGCATTCCTATACAATACACTTAGGACCCAAATAGATGACGAAAGAAAAATCTGCAAAAAAACTCAGACTGATATCGTAATTGAAATCTTAAAAAGTAGACATACCTCAATGGATGTATAATGAGTAACACGATGAACAGTAAATAAAGTTGATGGGTATACCAGAAGGCATTGTATACTCTTCGGCGGACGATCCTCATTGATGTAAGACCCATGCAAAGAGTTATTATAAGCATTGCCACGCCTGTAAGGCCTGCCGTACTTAGTAACAGGCATAGAGGATTCTGGAAGAAAAGCTTAATGTTGGTATTCTTATTTATTTATTTATTTATGCACAACACACAGACAGTACACAGGAGAATACATATATAAATAATTTGGAGGTACATAGGCACTACATATTCCCGTAGGGATCTCTTCCCGCAGTCCTTCGACAGGAAAAACAGTAAAAACTAAGACACTATGTGTAACATAGCATGAACAAAAAAAAAACAAAAATGACCAAAATGTAAGCCAATAAGTACTTAAAACTACATACACATCTTAATTATTATCTGTGGACTGACTAACTATGGTTTATTTTTATGGATTGACTGATTAATCTCTTGTATTAAGCCGGTGTATGAGACACAATAGAAAACTGGTTGTGGCTTGCGTAGATCCGCGTTCGATATCACGGGTTAAGGGCCGATTTTTCAATCATCAGTTAGTTCTTGACAGAGGAATAACTTTGAATATTTAATAATTCTTCCATGCTAAACACTATCAATGAAATTTTATTCTCCATTTAATAATTAACTGATAATTGTAAAATCCGCCCTTAAAGGTTTAATTTCTCTAAACGCCACTGGGTTATTTTAAGCCCGAGGTTAAAGTTCTAAGTCTACTCGAAATAATTTCAGATTTCCCGAAATGAATACTAGAAAGTTTCCATGTTGTTCGTGGTAATCAACCTACCATTTTCTCAAATCACGGGTAAAACGAAAAAAAAAACAAGAATTTAATATTATTATTTTATAACTTCATCAGCCAGAATATCTTTGTTACTAAAAGACCCTAACTAAGTCGTCCCTATGACTTTGTGGCCTACACAAAGCAATTAGATGACGCAATCATAACATCAGTCAGTTAAGAAGATAGTTATGTGAAATCGTTTGATGAATACTAACTGAAATATTTTAAAACGTTGAGGAATAGAAACATTTTGTCCCAGAAAAAATAGATGAAGATAATTTACTACATTCATTAAAAAAATCGTAAATAACACGAGTGATTTTCGAAAAACCTAAAGAACCTCAGTAACACTTTGCCCAGCCTAAAATTCATATCCAGAACCCCGAATTTATAAAGTATTTACTATATATCAATAAAGTCTATGCCTGCCAAGAGAACAAACTGTTGGACATATTTATGATAATTATTATTACGGTATTACCGTGCCTCCGCTAACGTCACCGATGGCCCCCGTGGCTTTTAACGTGTGTACCTACTACCTACATTTTTTTTTAAGGGGGGAAAATCGTCGAATTACTGGTCCCGCCTGGATGAGGCGGGAGGGAGTGTCAGACTCTTACTGACTAAAAACCACCCCGTTCCTTCTCCTGCACGTCGAGCCGGAGCCCCGGTAACCCGTTAGGTTCTCCGCGACACCTACTACCTACAATAGCTTTACGAATTTCCTGTTCTACATAACCCTAAAAACTTACAATAACAATCTACACCACAACTATTCCACGAACACCTACTTACGTAAATCCAAGCTAGAGCTAGAATAACCAAAAGTTTGAAACTAACCTCATTCCTGTACCTCGCGAAGTTAATCTCGGCGTTTTGTTCGTCGTACCCTCTGGAGAAATTCCATAAGTTCACCAGGTGAGAGATGGAATGTACCACTGGAAACAATAAGTGTAGTCAGCCAAACTATTTAATATACAGGTAGGAAAATAGAATTGAGTCAGTAAAGACACAGTAACCACGAGGTGGCTATTTTTTTATTCTACGTGGGGTTTTTATCCATGAGGATACGCCAATCCCATCGTACCTTATACTACCTACAACCATTATATAAAAAAAACCTTAAAATTAACTATGAAAGTTCCTAATTAACTTAGTCTTAATCAACGAAATACATCAACTGACACAATCGAGGTGGCTATTGAAACATCAAATTGTTACAAGAAACCAGAAATTTGGTTTTTATTTGTTGATAGATATTTAAGTGTGGGAGAGAGATGCTTGCACGTATGGGCCGGACTGCACGGCACGTATGGACACTGACGTGAAACAACGTTTGTATTGTGTTCTGTCATGTGAGTGAGGTTACCGGAGGCCCAATTACTCCCCTCTTTCCAATCCTCTTGTAAATCCCCAACAATCCTCAATTTCCCAATCCCCAAAAGGCCGGTAACGCACTTGTAACGCCTCTGGTGTTTCAGGTGTCCATGCGCGACGCCGATTGCTTACCACCAGGTGATCCGTCTGCTCGTTTACCGGCTTATCCCATAAAAAAATTGAATAGGGGGCAAACTCATGTGCTCGTCTGATGGTAAGCAATAAATAATTTACTAGAACACGAGCTACTGATTCTATACTAGGTCCAATTTTTATTTTGTCACCTGTATACCAAATAGTTTTGCTGGTTGTACATGTAGCTTACGTAACACTTAACTGTTTATAGTTTTGTACCTAGGTAGTAACTAGTTAAGGACTGTATCGCAGGTGTTTCGAAGTCCTCTATAAATTGTACCAAGAACGGAAATTGTTGGGTAACTTTCTTGTAAATAATGGTTTGTATTAACTGTTCGAAGCCATACCTACCTTTAGTCATGACGTATTTTATTTTGGGATTTTTGAAAGTTTTTCAAACTTATAATTAGAAATTATAAGCCCAGGTTTCCTCACGATGTTTTCCTTCACCGTTGGTCAGTGGTGTCTAAATAATCTTAGAAAGTACATATAACTCGGAAAAAGTCACATTGGTACTTCCCGTTGGTAGCTTTCGAACCCGCACCCCCGTGCATGAGAAGCAGGCATCTTCAACCTCTGGCCCACCACGACACAGTTTTTATTACGACTGCTTTAAAAGAAACTTACGTCATTCGATTAATACACCCAACCCTATATAACTATTTTATGCAAAGTCAAAATGTATCTCCTAGTATTGAAGTGTAAACACTGTAAACATCCAGACTGTCGGTTTAGCATGTCGAAGCAACAAAAGCTTTTAAAAGCTGAGTGTTTGGCTTTAAGCTCTCAGTAGAAACTTAGTTCCCCTAAGGAAGTTTTATTTACAGGTAAACTGAAAATTGACCAACTAGAACCTACATTCCAGTTCAGAAACAATAGCTAGGAATCCTAACAGTGGTGTGGGAGCCATTAGCCTTCGTCTCAACAACTTAATGGTGCTCTACATACGCGGAGAGCTTTAACGAGCCTTCCGCCATTTCCAATTCGCTTTGTGAACATTTTAAAAATGGAAGCCAATGACGAAATTCTCTTCCAATTTTAAGTTAGAGACTGGCTGGAAATAATTCACGTTATTTAAAAATTAAACTGTTTCTATGAAGTTTGTATATCGCATGGTATTTATTTATTAAATGGCCCAGCTGCCTAGAATCGTTTAATAGATTTCTCGGTATAAAATTATCGTTCTGTAATTCTTTCAATAGTTTGGTAGTTTAAACACATTTGCAATGTACATTTATAACTCCTCTTTGAGTCGGTAACGCAACGCAAACGGTTTTAATTGCATTCCACAGTACGTTGACACGCACAATTTATAGAGAAAAAATATCCCTAAGTGAAGTACTGAAATTTAACGTTTTCAGGATAATCATACAATTTAACAATAAACATTAAAAAACTTCTATATTTTTTCCATAAAAGTATTACTTACCAGCAAAAAATAACAACGTAATTGCAACAGTCATATGAAAACTCTTCGTTTTTTCTAACCAGAAAAAGAACAATCCAGGCCATAATTTCGATAATACTCTGTATAGCAACTGATTTAACTTCTTGCATAGAGGAAGTAACACCAAAGCGCAGCATAAATTTATAACAGTTGCCGTGCCACGGGAGATGCATAGTCCGAACTGAAATAAAAAATAACGTAAAAATATCGCCGACGAGGTTTATTCAACCTTTTTTGAGTCTGTATGTTGAATGGTGGCAGGTGAGAAAAAACTGCGTTTTATGAAATAACATGTTCTCTTTTTTCAAACACGTAACGTAGGTAGGTACTGCATTTTTTTTATTTTTTAAACAGAATAGAGAGTAGGGTTGGCACGTTACGTTTGTTATTGGATATAGCCCATAAAGTCTTTGTACACTTACCCCTAAAATCCTTCTTAAATAATAAAATTTCTGTCCAACGTTATAATAAATAAATGTATCGTAAAAAAGATACAGCACTAATGAGATCCATAATATCTGAAACAAAAGATACAGTTCATGAATCGTTTATATAGTCTTCATCTGGGCGATTGATCCGTTGCTTGGAACGAACTCTTTGTTCTTATGACAGTACTATTTTACATAGTTCTTATTAAATAGTCCTATATCTACTTAATACTTTGGTAATGCCGGTACCAGACATGTGCGCACTTGTTTATTCACAGAAGTGTTCAAATTGTGTGGCACAGACATTTGTAACTATTTTGTCCGTAAACCTACGAGGTGTATAGACCAACTGCTTCACCTGATAACAAACTTCCCAGACACATCAAGAAACATGTCACTTTTCAGCCCACGTAAAAGAGCATAAACTGTAAGTTGCATCAGCTTACGTCGGGCGTGCGTCGGAAGTGTAAACGAACGTATACCTAGCCACTTCAGACTCTATTCAGTGCCAGTGCGTAGCTACGGCTTTCTATACAACTCCTTTGACAGCCGTGTTGTGCCTACGTCCATTGAACGAGTGAATGGAGCCGATGACAGCGTGAAGTGTGGGCCTGCATTAATTAAGGGATGTCCAACATTCAAACTGAATGCTATTGAGATGTTGCATGTATTGGTATTGTATTGTGTGGAGTTATGGGATTTGTTCGATTTGAAGCTTATAGACGATATACATAGACACCAAGGTAGTTTGGGGTATTTGGAGATTCATCTTTGCAGTTCCTGTTTAGTTTTATGTATCACCCACAGTAGTAGCTAATAGGCCATCTGATGGTCACCGCAGTAAGAAGATACTTTTTGTAATTTTTCATAAATTACTAATATTTGAGTATCGAACAAAGTATTGATTTGAAAACAATCCAACATCAATGAAGTTCGCAATAAAATTTTAAACTAAACATACAAGTATTTATCTATAATAGTATTTCCAAAACGTTTAGGTTTCAACGTTAAACTTTGTAGAACAAACACGTATCTGCACATACAAAGTTATACATTGTGTTAAAATAAACTAGTTTCAACGCTAACGTTGTATGGACGTTTGAAGATGACATAAATAGAGTTAGGTAATAAAACAAGTTGTTACAAGCCATTACTAATCTGCTGTGGAAGACCTAGGTACTGTAAATGTTTGTTCATGGTCGAGTGCTGAATATTCTTAGGATTTACCTAGTAACCATTTGACTGTTGATCAATTACTTTTTTGTTCCTAATGCCTCACTGGTTGTATTGTTGAACAAGGAATCAAGTTTATAAGTAGTTTTCATAAATATATACGCGTTTGGAATTGTAAATGAACTATACGAAGTACCTACGACTTTTAAATTTCTCCTAAATTACTGAGGTTTTTTTTTGTGGGAATAAACACAAATATTCAAATGCTTAATAATATAGAAGAGAGACAGCCCTAATAATGACAACCTACTAACGGAAATAATAATTTCCTTTTTATTAATCTGTATTATTTTTCCTTCTTCATTTTCATCAATATTATCATTTATCTATCTAATCTTTCCGAGTTAGTACAACCATAAAATTAAATTAACTTTAATCACTATATTAATTAAATTTAACAGAAATCATACCCGTATTGAACTGTTAATGTGCACTCCCCTCCCTCTTCTTACCCTTGAATGGAAAGCCCTATAAAGCGTACATTAGAGGAGGTAAAGACCTTCATATTACACATATGAGAGAATTTCCTCGTGAGTGCATTAATCCATCTTATAAGGGAACTGAAATTGAGGGCTATCAATCAATCATATCACGATTTAAGCACGTATATTTTAAAAATATTCCCGAAGTCCTATAAATATTCCCGTGGTTACAACAAAATCGTTTAGGAATATTTGGAATAATGTTTGTTTATTGGAAACAGATGTGCTTGTGCCGAATATATGACATTAATATCTCATTATTTTGATAAAGAGGCAGCTGAGAATTGAGAAATCGGATGCGATGCACGAAGCGTATTCACGAATATTTTATAACAAGCTTTCATAAATAACAACGGGAAACAGAACTAATAAGTTATTGATGGTTAAATTGATTGACCTGTTTTCGCTGATGGAAATTTGGCGAGTTGTTTTATTTGTCGTTTAAAATACAATCATTGGCAGAAACGTCATGATTTGTTGTTGTTTATATCACAAGACACTCTTCAATCACTTTCCAAGTGTGCTAACTTTATATTAAGGCGGGCTATAAGCCGAGTATTGGTCTTCACAATATAAAACTTTCCAAAACTTCGTTGGTAGAAACCCATAGATTAATTTAAAAAAAAACAAACGATTTAATTACAAAGGGCAATTAACTTTTCAAACTATAGTGTCGGAATACTGAAACGCTACTCAATTTTAAGTCGTGCTTAAGTATAGTTCCGTCGCTACAAATTCTTTGGAAAATGACAGAGATGACACGATATTTGAGCACGACTTAAAATTGAGTTACGTTTCAGTATTTCGGCATAAGCCCTCAAAAATAAGCCATTAAACAAACTAAAGGGATATCTCTTTATTAAACAAATAGATAAGCCAGCTGATCTAATTTATGAAGTCGGTAAATAACACATAATAGATTGTCAATCATCTTCATGAAGTATCAAAGTCTAGGTCACAAGAACAATGGGAAAACTAAGGATGACCATGACCATGACATTACAACTGTTGAAGACTCATTCATAATATAATTCATAACATCTGTATCTATAATTAGGTGGCGTTTCTAGAGAAGTATAAATAGTGAAACGAGCATACTTACTCGTAATGTGCTACGGATTTCACATTCAACTCTCGGATCACGGAATATTTAATTAATAAATCAATTTAAGTGTGGGAGAGCCATGCTTCGGCATGAATTTGCCGGCTCGACCGGAGTGATACCACGGCCTCACAGAAGATCGACGTGAATCAACGTTGTGTTGTGTTTCGTCGTGTGAGTAAGGTTACCGGATGCCCAATTATCCGGAGGAAAGGGGCTTTCCCCAATCCCTGAATCCCCAACAATCCTCAAATTCCTAATCCCAAAAGGCCGGTAACGCACTTGTAACGCCTCTGGTGTTCCAGGTGTCCATGGGCGGCGCCGTTGTTTACCATCAAATAGGTGATCCGTCTGCTCGTTTACCGGTTTATCCCATAAAAAAATCAGATGTTACAAACGTAATTATTCGGTCTTTATCAGCGATACTATCTCACAAAATATTCTAGCTAGAGCTATTCTATGAGCACTACGATAAAACAGATTAAGGTAACAACAACGCATACTGAAATGTAAATAGAGATCTAAATACGATGACAGATTTATCGAAATCTAAACACATTTCTAACACTTCGTTGCTGTATATTATTTTTAATGCCAATAGACTTTCTGCACTAAGTGCGTGTTGAAGTGAAAATTAAAACTAAAGGAAATGAAAAACGGGTTTCCAAATGAGTTAGAGTTAGTTTTCCTGTGAATAAGAGATAAGACATGCCTTACAATATCCTGCTTCCGAGACTAGGCACCTACGTACTTACAACTTAGAAGAAGGAAATTAAACCTTATTCAAATTTTAATACCTGAGTTATTTGTTTGTACATTTTCTTATGGTATTAATAGATTTTGTTTCTCTTTGGGAAAATTCTTAGAACTGCCAGTGTCAAACAAAATGTTAGCCGTCATTTATTATTAACTAGCTTCTGCCCGCGACTTCGTACGCGTAATCCCATTTTTTCCCGTCCCCGTTCGTGATTTTCGGTAAAAAGTAAAAAAAAAATGTTGGTAAAAAAGTATCCTATGTCGGTCTCCTGGCTCTAGGCTACCTCCCTACCAATTTTCAGCCAAATCTATTCTGACGTTCTTGAGTTATAAGTGGTGTAACTAACACGACTTTCTTTCATATATTATAGATTTATGCCATATTCTCAATTCTATATGTTCATGTTACTGCGGCAAATAAAAGCTTTTACGATGTGCATAAATTAAATTTCAATTCATAGATATGTGTCGGCTTGTCAATTTTCATTTAGTTTCAATCGTCTCTCTCGTCTTTCGTCGAATATAACTATCGTCAAATGTTTTATTTATTTTCATGTAGGACAACAGGTCATGGTTGCAATTGTAGTTAAAGGCTTTTTTTTTTTTTTTTAAGGGGGGAAAATCATCGAATGACTGCCCCCGCCTGGGTGAGGCGGGAGGGAGTGTCAGACTCTTACTGACTAAAAACCACCCCGTTCCTTCTCCTGCACGTTGAGCCGGAGCCCCGGTTACCCGTTAGGTTCTCCGCGACTCCGAATCGGCATCGGCCCTATTGGGCCCCATCTGTGGTGGTCTGATGGCTCTTTGAGGCGCGCGCGGAACGCGACGCGCCGTACGCTCGGGTCTGTTTCTGGTCGGACGGGGAGCCACCCATGCTCGCCGTCCGCAGGCCCGCGCTTACGGTGGCCGGAGATCGTCCCGCGATCCCCGACGCCCGGTGTGTCCTTCGCAATGGCTGGGTTGCGAGGAGGCAGCGCTTCGCTGCCTCACGCGTCCCGCCTCCTCCTTAGCTAGCATGACTGCTTCGCAAAAGGAGGAGACGGCATCCCAATCCCCCTCGCTCCGCATCATGGCCTGCACTAGGCCCGGACGCGAGAGGTCGCCATCGCCGATCACTTCCCTGAGGACACGGCGGTGCTCAGCCCACGAAGGGCATTCTCCCACCGTGTGTTCCACCGTGTCCTCTAGTTAAAGGCTTACGGGTGAAATTATTGCAGATTAACCCATGATATGATAATACATGATACCCACGATACCCAGAACGTGTATATACCTACGCGAGACACAATGTGTTTTTATTGTGTCTCATATGCTGGGATGAGTGGCAGGTAAGAGTTTAAGTACGAGTTTCGACAATATTTATATGAAGTTTCTGTCAGAGATTTTGGATTACCTACTGATGGCTTTAAAGCTGTTTATCACGCAACAGACTTTAAAACAATCAAAATACATAACCATTTTAATCATCACCATACTTATTATTATTACACTCTTTGATCATCACCATTATGACTGGC